GAAAAAAAGTACAAAAAAAAAAACAAAAACAAATATTATTTCGGATATAACAGAAAAAACTCTAAGCCTGTTGAAAGTCGGTCGTCGATTTCTCAGCAACACTGCCATCATCAACAATCGGCTCGGGCCTGGCACCTTCTCCATCCCTGACCGGCCCCATGCCTGGCTGTTCGACTTCAATCTCTTCGTCGAATGGCTCCTCTTCATAATTAGCTCCACTCGGCTCGACCAGTTCAACCGGGCCAATCAAGGAGGATGGAGAGACCTCAAGCTGGGAAGAAAGCTCGGCTACATGAATCGCTTTGGCCTCGAGGCCAGTCCAGCATTCACGACCAGGAGGGAGGTCCTCGCTGCCCTGAAAGCCGACAGGGTCGAAGAGGGTTTTCTTCACTGCCTCCCGATCGATTTTCCCGGGGAAGTCGGGATGAGCCATAGCATGTTCCCACCAGTCGCAAGCAAAGTCAAAGTATTGGATCACCCTGGGAATCAGCTCATCAAGGAAGTCGGACGAGTTACATAATGCCTCGACCACAGCCTTACGATAGTGGTCGAGGAAGACAACACCCGTAGGAGACTTCAAGAAGGTCCTACGGCCTTCCTGAATCCCATTCTCCTTCTCGACCAAGGCCTCGTCAGTGGCCTTGATTAGATCGGCTCGCAACTTCTCGACTTTCCAGACAGCCGCATCCTTATCGTAACAGAGCTTGGCGATGACAGCATTTGCAGCCTCGAGCTCCTCTTCCTTGACCGCGAGCTCCTCGCACTTAGCCGCGTATTTTTCCCCAAAAACTTTGACGTTGGTTTCGGGGGAAGACGCCTCCTCAATCATGGATGGGAGGATGCATGCGAGAAGCTAAACAAAAAAAAGGAGAGAAAATAAGAAGAAAATGAGACGATGAAATAAAGAAAAAGAAGTCAGACTGAAAGAACGCAAAAACATATAAACCTACCCGAGGGATGAGCCGAGCCTCATAGCGAGCCCGATGGTAGGGGTTGCCGTCGGTCCGGACTTGGTCGTCCTCGGAGAGAACCGATTGAGGTAGTTGAGAATTTGAAGGGGATCGGGGTTGTCGTAAAGCCGAGAAGGCTATTGTAGGGTTACGGGATGCACTTCCACGGGGGACGACTGCCCCGCGTCCTTCTTGACCACCAGTTCCTTCCCCTTCTGACGCTTTGGGGAGTCGGGCACCAAAGTCGCATCCCTCTGACTCAGGGACCTCTTGCGAGAATGAGAACCCGTCTGTTGACTCGGGTTAGAAGCCAAAGGAAGCACAACCTTGGACTTCCTGGCGGCAGTCGTCCCGACTGCGGCAGCTGTTGAACCCGAGCCTCCCTCGGGTCCCTTTGGAGGGATGGGGGCGGCTGACTTGTCGGCCTCCTAGGCTTTTTTCTTCTCGAAACGAGCCAAAGCTTTAACTATCGACATAGAAAGAGATAATCAGAACATAGCATAACCATACGAATACATCGAACAAAAAATAAAAACACAAGTGGCCAGCTGATGGGTGATAAGTCGAGACATGAACATAATAAAGAGCTTACAGGGATCACTAAGTCAAGGGATACTCTTGTCGACACAAATGCCAACATGATTGAGAAGGGAGCTATCCTTGGTCAATCGACGGGCGCTCCATGTGTGCTTATTCAGCTCCTCCAGCATGCTCGCGAATTGTAAAGAGCGGGGATGCTTACGCTGCTCTGTCTTACTGGTAATCCACTCATTCGAAAAAGGATATTGGCCGAGAGCGGGACGAATGAAGAAATACTTTTTCTTCCATTCGGTAATATTAGAGGATAGGTCATCGAGGAAGGTAACGCCCACACGACGACCCAAACAATGGGCATCTTTGCTAAATCTATAGCCATAATAGTAAAGAAAAAAATCGGGTACAAAACTACCTAACACTATACGGGTGACGACTATGAAGGCCACCATTAGAATAAAATTGGGGGTGAATTTGTTTTGTAGGCACATCATATAGATTACTCAGGGACAGTAGCTCAGGTTGAATATGGAAGCGTAATCTCGACATTATTTGATCAACGAAGAAAGTAAAGCAGCCACGAGGAGGATGCTTGAAGTCATCAGAGGAAGTAGGGGCAAGCAACGCCCAGTCGGAAGGAAGACCGTTGTATTCTCTAAAGCCCTCGATTTCAGCTGCAAGGGCATAAAAAAAGGGATTTTAAAAACAGCCAATTTCGCTACAGGACAAGCTAAAGTTGCAGGCTCGACTAAAGAAGCTATTATTAATGAATGTACATGACTTGTTCTATACACGAGGATATCTAGCAGCCTAAGAGGAATACCTCGAGGGATTAGATTAAGTCGAGGAGATCCCGGAGTACGAGAGATCTCAGGATCCTCGAACAGGGTGTCGGACAGCAGTGCTTAATTGTACACAACCCTGTCGATTCCAAAAGGTGAGGTTGTGGAATGAACAAAATTCTCGGGCTCGACATTTAGGCCGGCATGCGGTCCGACAGAGATTTTTTGTACAGAATCAGAACTCGAGTAGTTGTCAATTTCGCGGGCAAGGGATTCGGAGACAGGGTCGGAGTTGGAATCTAAAAAGAAAAGAAAAGAGCGACAATCAATAGATATGAGAGAATACGACCGCGATTCGACTTCAAAGGATAAGGGTCAATGAAAGGACTAGGAAAGCGCGTGAAGCGACTCGACAACGAAAAAGGGGAGAAGAAACAAGGAAAATATTTCTCATTTCGACTCGATTTGACAAATGAAGACCAAGTCGATGGCTAGTCAATCCGAAAGAGAAGAGAAGAGTCAATCCCTCATAGCAAGACAACTGACGAATAAAAACACTTGAAGAGGTAAAAAATATACGATCAAAGATCTAACAAAAAAATCGCCAGAAATTCGTATAAAAATCCCCAGAAAATCCAACGAACATGCAAAATCCAAGCACATCACCCAGAAAAGCAAAAAAAATGAGGGAGAAGAAGAGAAAAAAAAATCGTATACAGCAATGAATCGAAGAGGAAAGAAAACTTACTCATACTCATGATGACTGGCGAAGAAGTCCTGGTAAGTTTGAGAAGAACGTCGGAGGATGATGTGAGCGCCGGAGAACTTGCGATGCTTTATTTGTCGGAGAACCAGAGAGTTTGAGAGTTGTGATTACGAAAAGTGAAGACAATGAAAGAAGAGGAGTATTTATAGAGGGGGCAGCGAAACCCTAGCCCTCAGATTAAAAGCAGGTCCAACAGTTGAGATGGTGCACGGAATACGAAGCGATGGAGAGAGAAAGTGTCTTATCAGTCTTAAAAACCCTTGTGTGAATTTTGAAATTTGAAAGGATTCAGACTTATCCAACGGTATTCATAAGATAACGACTGTTTACAAGCTGAAATAATAGATGGGCACGATTGGAACCAAGGAAATTGACTAAGAAAAAGATGTCCTATGAAGGGGCACGACTCAGGACAACACCAAGCGGCAAGGCATGAAAAGATCCAAGCAAGATGCTCAGTCGTCAAAACTTACTCTTAAGCTCATAATCGCTTCGAGTAATTTTTGGGGGGGACTAGATGATATAGCCATACTATCGTGTAACGGTTCATACCATCACGGTTTAGACACTAACGAGTCGACTTATCCAAAGTTGACTCTCTCTATAGACTCATAATAGCTCCGGTCAAGGGCCCAGGCGCCTCTCTCAGTCGACTCCCAGGTGTCGACTAGCGTAAGTCGACTCCCTCCGGAAAGACGAACAAGCGCGTCTGGGTCTACTGACGATTGAAGATGACCCAGTCGACTCGAGTTGGTATCCCGAGTCGACTGAGGAAGTCCCGAGGCTCACAAATCCCCGACGATTCCAATACACTTCAACATATCGTAGGAAAGCTGTCAAGGATAATAAGGAAACTATTAAGGATAAGAAGGAATCTAGATGCTGATTAGGAGATGGACGGAATGCGAATCGACCAGGGCATTTTGGACATTTCCAGTAAGTCGGCTGGGGCATTTTGGGGACTTTAGGTAAATGTCTTGCTTCTATATAAAGGAGTTGAGGTAACCCCAAAACCCTAACTCTCATTCATTCTGTACCTCTCCTCCATTACTGCTGCTGCTCTCTCAGAGCAGCTCCCTTCATCTCTTTCACATACTGACTCGAGCGTCGGAGGCTCTATGCCGGAAACCCCTCCGGCGTTGAGTTCTTGCAGATGTTCTCGCAGTCCAGCAACAGTTCGGAGGCGATCGAGTCAGATCTGAGCTCATTTCCACCAGTTCATTTCAGATCTGAGCTGGTTTCCATTGATTCACTCTAGATCTGAGAGGAGACCCATCAAATAGAATTCACCAAGTAACTTCACCAATACAAGGTCTTTGTGAGAAATAAATGGAAATAGAAGGGCACTTGTGAAAATTCGCAATAAGATGCCCATCCCAAAATAGTTCAATTTATCCGGTTAGGTGGACCGCTTGGATTCTTGTTAGTAATAAAGCGGAGTGACGAATGTAAGACGCAGTAAAAATGACAATCTTAAAAAAACTTGTCCACTGTAAAAAAGAGTAAAAAAAAGTTAAAAAACAGCCAATTGAGAGTCTTTAGACCCCAAAACCACTCACCACTACAAAGCACAACTCCGCAGTTTTTTTTTTTAACCTCTCACCATCACTTTCCCCATTTCCTCTGTTCAATTTTTCGATTTTTTCTACACTAAATAAAACAGAGGAAATCCCCAAAACCCAGACAAAATTCAAGAAATTACAATAAAAGCCCACCGAAAAAGCAGCAGGAGCACAGCCCACCGAAAATGGAAGGAACAGAGGAAGAGAGATTCTTCACAGGTACTGCTATTTGACTTGCCCTGTTCTTCGCCGCCGTTAAAATTGCTACCTTTAGTAGCCCATTTAGATCTCACATGCATACACAAATGTTCTGTAATTTATTGCCCGTATGTTTGTGCAGATGGGTACCCGTGATTTTATGAGGTGTTTTTTTTTGTACTTGCTCTGCCTCACACTGAACTAATATATGGCTGCCGAGGTAAGCGGCGTTGGGAATGTCGAGGTCCCCTCGTGGCTCAAATCCATGCCGGTGGCGCCGGAGTACCACCCGACCCTGGCCGAGTTTCAAGATCCGATTGCCTACATTTTCAAGATTGAGAAGGAGGCCGCCAAGTACGGCATATGCAAGATTGTCCCGCCGGTCTCCGCAGCTCCCCGCAAAACCGTGGTGTCTAATTTCAACAAATCCCTTCTGGCCCGGTCAGCCGACTCGGGCTCCGGCCCGACCTTCACCACCCGGCAACAGCAGATCGGGTTCTGCCCAAGAAAGCACCGTCCCGTGCAGAAGCCCGTGTGGCAGAGTGGGGAGAGGTACACCCTCGCCCAATTCGAGGCCAAGGCCAAGAATTTCGAGAGGAATTATCTCAAGAAGTATCCAAAGAAGGGCCCGAATGCCCTGGAGATGGAAGCCCTCTACTGGAACGCTATGGCTGACAAACCCTTTCGGGTGGAGTACGCGAACGACATGCCGGGGTCTGCCTTTGTGGCTCAGAAAGCTGGCGGGAAGAGAAACGAGAGTGCGATGATGGTGGGAGAGACCGAGTGGAATATGAGGGGGGTTTCGAGGGATAATTTGTCTTTGCTGAGGTTTATGAAGGAGGAAATACCGGGAGTGACATCGCCCATGGTTTATGTGGCCATGATGTTTAGCTGGTTCGCGTGGCACGTGGAGGATCACGATTTGCACAGCATGAACTATTTGCATATGGGAGCGGGAAAGACGTGGTACGGTGTGCCACGAGAGGCGGCTGTTGCTTTTGAGGAGGTAGTTAGGGAGCATGGGTATGGTGGAGAGGTCAATCCTCTAGGTGAGATATATATTTTTCGGATATGCTTTAGTATATTGATATGTTCATTGAATGATGCATGTGGGTGTGAGTTTTATCGAAAATGAGGTAAATTTTGGTGAATATGTGTGGATATTATTAAATATTGGAAAATTTGAGATGGTGAAATTGGGGAAAGTCGTATGCTTTACGACATTAATATGCTAAAAAAAGGGGGTACAACTGCAAGCATGATCGTGTGCCCACGTATGCTTTTGATGTTTACTTTGTGACCTACATTATGCTATAAGCTAGCATATATATTATGCTGACGACAAGAATACGAATGCATGTTGTGATTCTAGGGAATCTGCATGTCACTCTCTGGTTGGTGTTCAAATGGTAGGTTATTAATTTTTATATACTCTTCTCATGTTATTCCTGTGTAAAACTGTGTCATTTTGCCCGCAGATAGAAAGTAGATGACTTTATAGTCAACACACTCGAATATCGTGTCATTTTCATTTAAAACGTGCTGAATTCCATTGCTTAGTATGTACGTAAATTAGATTCTGACTAAAAACATAAATTATGTATAAATTAGATTCTTTGTTCACTATCCGGCAATGCAAGATGCCTTTAATTATATACCCAATTTGCTCATCCTAACAAATGGTTACTGAGTCATTATATATACAAATGAGCTAACCGTTTTCTCATATTAGTTGAAGCACACGTGAACTAGATGATCTGATTTCTCTAAAAATTGGAATATAGAAAATTGCTTCAGGAGCCATGCTTCAGATGTCATTTTGGCAATATAAATATTTTACCATGGGTGACAATTATTCCATCGCATTCTTACTCTGTTGGGGGCAGCCAACGAGGTTCTTCATTAGCTGCTGTTTTCCCGAAGGGAAGCAGCTTCGTGGCTGCCTAATACACTCTGTACAGCTTATTGGCCAGATCTAAAATCATCATTTCAGTTATTTATCCCTCTTTGTTCTTGTAATTGAATTGCAGTTGAACTCAAACATCCCCATGGGAGTGGTGAGGGGAGATCCCCAATTGGTTAAAGAAAGATTATTCTTTTGTTTTATCTATTTTACTTATAAAAGATCATCAGTCGGTGCTTTAAGGTATTGGGTAAGTTCGACAATGAGATATGAACAAATGCATTATATCCACTTTGAAAACGGAAAATGTCATGTTCTGCATCTAGAGAGGAAATAAAATCTCGGTCGTTCTTCTGGAACAACGGTTATTTTTCTGTTATATTATGTTCTCTGTTTTTCATCCTTTGTTCCACTGAGCAGTAGCTGTTCTATTATGTTTTTTGTTCAACCTCTGAACAGAGTTATGATTTTCAAAATACTTATTATCTCTTTTCTTTCTCCAATGAGTTATTGTGATCTTCTTCTTTTTCCCCAACAACCCCTCTCTCTCATTCTTAGACGGATAAGGAACTGATGGTCATTTCGTGGGGTTCTAAAATGTTTTGAAGTAAAAGTCTCTAGTTACATGAACTGTTCTTTTAGATTGGTATCCTTCCAGTCGGTTGCTAGTTTCAGCTTATAATAGTGATGCTTTTTACACTAATCTTACTCCCTAAGAATAAATCGAGTGAGAAAATGTAGGACAGGAATTACAGAATCCTTTCACGCTACACCAACTTTTCATTCCCATTTGCTGCCTTTGGGTGTCTTTTGTTAATTTTCTCTGCCGTTGTGTGGTGTTGGCATCATGGGTAAATAATTAGAACAAATTGAGGTCCTTCTGTTTGACATGCTTTGTTCATAACTTCCCAAATGAACTTCACAATTGCATTTTCTTTGCAGTTACATTTGCAATGCTTGGTGAGAAGACCACAGTCATGTCCCCAGAGGTGCTCCTGAGCGCCGGTGTTCCATGCTGCAGGTGACTGTTGAATGTCGTTCTATTTGTTTGTGTGCTGCTGGAATACTAATAAATTCTCCGTTCATCATCTTACAAGATAACCAGATGATGCCATTAGTTGTTGATATTCTTCTGAAATTCTTGCATATTATATGTCCAACTCTTATCCCCCATAAATTCTTAACTTAGGCTAGTGCAAAATGCTGGAGAATTTGTTGTCACTTTCCCAAGAGCTTATCACTCGGGATTCAGTCATGGTAAGTCAATTATAACGCCATAATTGAATTTATATGTACATATATCATGGTTGATCTATGATGCAGTTTTATTTAACATCAACATCTTTCGTACAGAAGGCGCTTATTTTGTTTGTATGATTTCACGGTTTCAGGATTTAACTGTGGCGAGGCGGCTAATATTGCAACTCCTGAATGGTTAAGAGTTGCAAGAGAAGCTGCAATCCGTAGGGCAGCCATTAATTGCCCTCCAATGGTGTCTCACTTCCAGTTACTTTATGACCTAGCACTTGTGTTGCATTCAAGGTTTGTACTTTGTTTTCTCTTTGTAGTTTGTATGACAGTTGTCTTATGGGGTAGGCCCCTATATTCAAGAATGCATGATATTCCAAATCCCTGTTCTCAGGTAACGGAGTTTTGATATATTATTATTTGAACTTTATTGAATATATGCAATTAACTGCATTGCCCTTCTCTTTGTAAATTACACCAACTACCTGGTACATGGTAGCATGATCAATCTTCTTTGTCAGTTATACTCTCTCTCTCTCTCTCTCTCTCTCTCTCTTCTAGAAGGTTCTCAATTACTATGGGAAATTTAACACAGCTACTTAGGTACATTGAAATTTTATGTTGATTATCATTATGTCATTGTCAAAGTCGTATGATATCTATGATATGCTTCCTTGACCGTTTTTTATTTATTTGCTTAACCAGAGTGCCAAAGAACGTTGCTGCAGAACCCAGAAGTTCCAGATTGAAGGATAAAAGGAAAGGCGAAGGTGACATGTTGGTAAAAGAACTGTTTATTCATGACATGTCACAGAACAATCATTTGCTTTGCACTCTTGGCAAAGGATCGCCTGTGGTGCTTCTTCCCGAAGACTCCCTGAGTCGTTCGATTTCCTCTGGCAAACCAGCCGTAAACCAGTTGACTGCAAAATCTAGACTGTTCCCCAGTTTATACGGTCAAGATCTCCATTTGAAACATTCTGTGAATAGAACATCTGGGGAAGAGCAGAAGGTGGGGCCCGAAACAAAGAAAGGAGATTCTCAATGCGAGCAGGGCTTGTTTTCGTGTGTGACTTGCGGGATTTTGTGTTTTGCTTGCGTTGCTATTGTTCGACCAATGGATGTAGCCGCTTGTTATCTAATGTCAGCTGATTGCACTGTATTAAGTAACTGGGAAGCAAGTGATAGTGACCACGTCAAAGAAGCTAATGCTACTCACCGAGACCTTTATTCAGGTATAATCAATCTATAAATATACAGTCAAAAGCTTGTGTCATCCCAAATTTTTTTTTTTTTTTTTTTGTACCATGTGTTTATTTATCAAGATTAGTTGAATGGATAGCTTGAGAGTGTGCTGTATGTATATTGTATGTTCTTCACTGCTTATTTGCAGAATTTAAGATTAGAAAGATGAATGTTAATGTTCTCTTGTCTCCTAATCAAGCAGATGAGGAGAGTCCACATGTTACAGCCCTGAATCGTGAGGCACGTAAAGAGCCGTCCTCACTTGGCTTACTAGCTTTAGCTTATGGAAATTCTTCAGATAGCGAGGGGGACGAAACTGACATTAATCAGTTAGAAACAGTCCATCCGACTGAGGTCAATCCTTTGATCGATAGCATTAGACATCAGATGAAATCACAACGCGACACCTCGAACTTGTTGACCCGTAAGACCGACACAATGACTATGGCTGAGCCAAAACTATTGGAAGGCATGAGTCCTGATGAAGATTCTTCACGACTGCATGTCTTCTGCCTCGAGCATGCTGTACAAGTCGAGAAAAGGCTCAGTCGGGTGGGTGGGGCCCATGTGTTTCTTTTCTGCCATCCAGGTGAGACTCTGTATATGAATTCTGATGATGCTTTCTTGTACATAATTTTGACTGAACAGACAATGAAAATCCTAATGAAAAAAAAAAATAACAGAATTGCTGATCTTCTTTTGATAATTTTTCATTTTTCGTTAAATTTTTATTGCAGACTATCCAGAGTTAGAATCCCGGGCCAAGAAAGCTGCTGAGGAATCAGGAACTGAGTGCACGTGGAACCAGACCCATTTCCGAGCGGCCGATGAAGAAGATGACGAGATAATATGGCTGTCTCTAGAAAACGAGAACGCCATACACGGCAACAGGGACTGGGCCGTAAAGCTGGGAATCAACCTCTTCTACAGCGCCAGCCTCAGCCGCTCCCCTCTCTATTCCAAACAGATGCATTACAACTCGGTCATCTACAAGGCCTTCGGACGAAGGTCCCACACGGACACCTCACAGGAAGTGAAGGGAGGCAGGCAGAAGAAGGTTGTTGTTGCCGGAAAATGGTGTGGCAAAGTCTGGATGTCCAATCAGGCCCATCCTCTGCTCGTCAACAATGATGATGATCACGATCCGGGCTCGGGGACTGATTTCGAGCGCGAAACGGGCTTTTGGGCTGGGCGGGCTAACAAAATCCAAGATGAATCCCCTTTACTCTTTTCGCTCGCCAGTTGTCACAACAAGCAAGTCAAGAGAAAGCGGGGGTCTAGAAGGCCGAAGGAGGAAAGTCCTGTCCCGGAAGGTCCTGACGAATCTTTCTCCGAGAAAGACAGCGACTCGTGCGAGGAAATTAAGAGCGGCAGGAGCAGAAGGAAGCTGCCGAGGAGCGAGGCGAAAAAACAAGCTTTTGGGTCCTTAAACAGGCCCGGAGAAGGATTCTCGCTCGGCAGCAGCTGCAAGAGCAAACGTGGGGCAAGAAAGCCACCGGCAAAGAAGGACACAGCCACGAAAAATCAAAAGAGAAGCAAGAAGGAGCACGAGGACCCACCCACGGACGATGATGAAGACGATGAGGCTGAAGGTGGTGGGCCCAGCACGCGGCTGAGAACTAGGCCCAAGCCCACTCCTAAAGCTTCGCGGCTGAAGGCGAGTACTAAAGATTCCGGGCCCAAGCCGAGTAAACCAAAGAAGAGTAGTATTAACAAGTCGAAAGTTAGATATGAGGAGGAAGAGTACGAGTGTGATATGGAGGGATGCACGATGAGGTTCGGGTCAAAGCACGAGCTTTCCCTACACCAAAAGAACGTGTGCCCAGTCAAAGGGTGTGGCAAGACCTTCTTCTCCCACAAGTATCTTATCCAGCACAGGCGGGTCCACGTGGACGAGCGCCCGCTCAAGTGCCCATGGAAAGGCTGCAGGATGACGTTCAAATGGGCTTGGGCAAGGACAGAGCATATCCGGGTCCATACCGGGGCCCGGCCTTATATCTGCACCGTGGCCGGGTGTGGTCAGACATTCAGGTTCGTGTCGGATTTTAGCCGTCACAAGCGCAAGACGGGCCATGCTCCGAAGAGAGCAAGAGGAGGGTGAGGCTTTTCTTGGATGGGATGTATTAACAGAGACAGAAGATGAAAATGGGAAAGAGAACAATGTTAGGGTCTAGACAGACTTTTTAGCTTAAATCTGATAATTTTCTGATTGGGGTGGGGCAATTCATCAACGTAACTAGGCCATTTGTTTTTAATGTTGTAAGGAAAAAAAGAGTGTGTTGTATTGTCTGCCAATGCAGAAAAAAAGATCTAATGTGCATGATTTTATCTTTGACTGCTATTTTGTGGTTCCTTATTATTATTGCTAAATTGCTTCACATTTTTTGTCTCATTTAAGTATGATATTATGTCTGGCCATGTGGGCTAATCCAATTGGCATGGTGTTTCAGTTGTCCTGGGCCTGCATTTACAAAGGCCCAATAAGGACACACTTTTTGGCCCATTCATTTGATCCCACGAGCCTCCTCACTCGACATGCCGATATCATCGTTTATTTCATTCATCCAACTGAATGAAACATGGCGTAGAAACATGCCGATATCATATCCTTTGGTAATGTTCATTACACTTCAAGAATGATGAAACCAGTTTAAGTAAGTATATATAAATAGATTTAAAAAGACAACACCTTGCCCATCTTGGTGAGAAGCTTATGTCTGAGTTCTTGGTAATATGATCATGTCAAAGACTTGAAATATGATAAAGTTTCTACATGCAAACCTTTTTTCTTTAGAATAAACCTCGTCCATCATTTGGTTAAGATAAAATGTTGCAATTATGATAAATGTTGTAATAAAAATGCACTTCGTATAGTGTTGCACTACGTCAGTTTGCTACGGAGCCATCTGATGGCTCGACTTATGGAGTCATCCACACTTATTCACCAATAGTGTATTGACACGTGTTCTACAATAAATACAATTTAGACATGTGACAATACATTAAGTGGTGGATGACTCCATAAGAAAACCACCGATGGTTCCATAGAAAATTTGTACGTCAGTTTTGCTATGGAGTCATCGGATAGCTCGACTTATGAAGTCATCAACACTTATTCATCAATAGTGTATTGACACATTTTCCACAACAAATACAATCTGGAATAGTGTCTGTTATTGTTGTGGCCCAAATGACCTACGGGATGCTCAATAATATCCATCAGGCCCAATTTATTGGCCTTATTCCTAGGCAGCCACATCTCACACCAGACCCAATTTACTTTTCTTTCACTTCTCTTTTTTGTTCTTTGCGCGTAACATTCGAGTGAGATGGTGTTTTGAATTCTGCCTTATCACCTGCGGGATTATCTCAACTGTAAGGTTTTCCAATCCCTTCCCAACGTTCAAATCTCTTTCTCTTTGTCTTTATAAAGACCGATCCTTGGCTCTTGTCTATGACTGAACAAGCAACGGATTGAGCAACTAGCGGCATGAGAGTGAGCGAGATGAGATGTGTGAAGCCCTATAACTTGATTTCCTCTTTAGATCATGTGAGAATCTGATATTCCTCTTTGTGAGTGAGAGCCCGAGACTTATTTTTCTTCTTTGTGAGTGAATAAGAAAACTGAAACCTAGGTAATTTAGAGCCTTTGTGAGTGAACCTAGTTTCTCCCTCTTTGTGAGTAGGACCTGGGATCTTGATGGGTAACATTGAAGCTCCGTGTGAATCTGTTGTGTGCTACCAAAAATTGAAGTGCCGGTGTATGTGTGGCCAGCCCGAAGCTAGTATCTAGTGATAATTTGTGGGTATTTTGTATGGGGCCTAAGCCTGAAATCTCAATCAACCGCAATGATTTCGATGAAGATTACGGTGATTTTATTCCATTTTTTCTCGTATTTAAATTAATGGTTTGTTTCCCTTTGCATTAAGAATACTTGTTTGGTTTGCTCTTTTGCTGTTTGGGCTTGTTTATCTTTGTTTAGGTTGTTGTCCGGGCACGGTTTGCAGCACTACGGGTCCATTAGTTGCTGTCGGGGATTACCAGGAGCTGTTCGGGCTCTACCGGAAGCTGTCCGAGACCTACTAGCTGCTGCAGGAGCCTACAGGGAGCTGTCGGGACCTGTTGGGAGTTGCCGGGACCTGCTGGAGCTGCCGGGACGAACCTGCTGTTGTTTGGGGCCAGCCCGGGCCCGGCGAGTCGAGCCAAACGACCACCCAACAGTGGTATCAGAACCTGGCTCTTGCCAGGTCGAGTTTCTTTTCGTAGGGCTCGCTCATGTATATTAGATGAAACCCGTTCTCTTTTATCGCTTTTGTAGTGATAGCCTCTGGTCGGGGATTGTGTGTTGGGAACGTGCTGGTAGATTTCTAAGATCTTTGTGATTTGTGTGATTTTACCGGTTTACTAGAGGTTCCATCTGCATGCTTGTTTGATTTATCGCTTTTGTGTGATTATCGCTTTTGTAGTGATATTCCGTTGTGCTTTATTTGCTCTGTGTAACTTTCGTGTGGAACTGTTACTGTGAGATTTTTATCTTTGTGATATCTTAGTAGTTGGCATATCTTTTAGGTGAAATTTGCTTCGTTGTGATTTTCTGTGCAAAAACTTGTGTGTTTTTTAAAATTGGATCCGTGTCAGCTTTTAGCTTAGTTCTCTTTGATGGAAAATCTGATTTTGGTATTTGGCAACAGAAAATGAAAGGTATTCTTGTTCAACAAAAGGTGTTTAAAGCTATTGACCTTTCTCATTCTGTGAATGTGTCGGCCGAGAAAAGGGCCGAAATTGACGAGTTTGCTTATTCTTCGATTATTCTGAACTTATCTGACTATGTGTTAAGAAAAGTTGGTAAATTGGACTCTGCTAAAGAACTTTGGTAAAAATTTGAGGAACTATATACTGAAACTTCTTTGCCGAATAAATTGTTCCTGCTTGAGAATTTTTTTCGGTTCAAACTTGATTTTTTCTAAAGATATGGATGATAATTTGGATGTGTTTACCAAACTTGTTCAGGATATTAAGAAAACTGGTGATAAGCATATTGATGATTATACCCCTATTGTGCTCTTGAATGCTATATCTGATTCTTACAGTGATGTGAAATCTGCTATTAAGTATGGTAGAGATAATGTGAATCTTGGAACTGTTGTGAATGGTTTGAAAAACAAAGAGATGGATTTGAAAACCAACAGGGGTAATGAGAATGTCGATGAGGTTAATTTTGTGAGGGGAAAGCCTCAAAATCATTTTCAAAATGAAAAACCTCCGACAAATCAAAATTTTGGCAAAAAGAAGGGTACGTGGAAAAATTGGTCGAAGTATCGATCGAAAAACCGTAAGTGTTATAATTGTGGTGAAATTGGTCATTACATGAATGATTGCTCTAATCCCAAGCAAAACCAGCATAATGATCATGCGAATATGGCATCTAGTAGTGAAAACCTTGGTGAGGTGTTGTGAATGAAATGGATGATAATGTGAATCTTGTGTGTTCTCGTTCTCTTTGTGAAACTGAATGGCTTGTTGAGTGTGCATGCTCGTTTCATATGTCTTCTTTAAAACATTTGTTTTCGAACTACAAAGATGTGAAGCATGAATTTGTTTCTATGGCTAATGAGAAATCGTGTGAAGTTGCTGGTATTGGTGATATTTGCTTGAGATTTGATTCTGGTTATGTGTTAACTTTGAAGAATGTGAGGCATGTGTCCCTGATTTGTGTCATAATTTGATATCATGTGCTGCTTTAGAAGATGATGGTTTATAAGGTAAATGGGGAAATGGTGTTATGAAAATTATGAAGGGTTCTTTGGTGATCTTCAAAGCTGTTAAAAAGTTGAACTTGTATGTTTGCATTGTTGAATCTTGTATGCAAAACCCTGTGAATGATGTTTGTGGTGACAAAACTGATTTGTGGCATACGCGTTTAGGTCACATGTGTTCTAGGGGTCTTGAAATTTTGCATAAAAATGGCTCTTTTGGTTGTGACAAATTGTCTTGTGTGCCATTTTGTGATTCTTGTGTGCTTAGTAAACAATCACGAGTGAGTTTTCCTGTTTCTGAACCTGTCGTTGCTCCGAGCAAGGTGGAGCTTTCATGTCTTTTATCTGATGATGTGCAGCATGTGCCGATTATGCTTGATGAGAACTCTATTTCTGACAATCTATCTATAAATCATGCTTATGATGCTGTTGTGCATGTGGAAATTGTTGAAAATTTGCCTAAACCTGATATTTGTGATTTGCATGACTATCATTCGACTAGAGATAGATCGCAAAGAGATAGGGCTCTATATGTTTCTAAACAAGACAATTCTTTGCGTGGATGAATATTGTGGAAAATAAAATGAAGTCCTTGCATGTGAATTATGTGTGGTCTTATGTTTCTAACCTAAGAAAGTGGTTCTTAGTGGATTGTAAATGGATGTCATGTTGCTTGAAAATTTTAAATTTTGATACGTCCGATTGATATGTGTTATGTGAACTTTATGTGATGTAGCCAACTTTATGTCTGCTACATGGTTGCTATAACTTTGTGTTTGAGTGCAGGTACGGTAAGGTAAGGCGATGATGACTCCTGTAACCCCCAATCTGTGAACTAGCTTTGGGCCAAGGTGGATAATGTTATTGTTGTGGCCCAAATGACCTAAGGGATGCCCAATAATATCCATCAGGCCCAATTTATTGGCCTTATTTCCTAGGCAGCTACATGTCACACGAGACCCAATTTACTTTCCCTTCACTTCTCTTTTATGTTCTCTGCGTGTAACATTCGAGTGAGATGGTGTTTTGAATTCTGCCTTATTACCTGCGGGATTATCTCAACTGTAAGGTTTTCCAATTCCTTTCAAATGTTCAAATCTCTTTCTCTTTGTCTTTATAAAGACCGATCCCTGGCGGCATGAGAGTGAGCGAGATGAGATGTGTGAAGCCCTATAACTTAATTTCCTCTTTAGGTCCTGTGAGAATATCAGAGAGTGAGCGAGATGAGATGTGTGAAGCCCTAGAACTTGATTTCCTCTTTAGATCCTGTGAGAATCTGATATTCTTCTTTGTGATTGAGAGCCCGAGACTTCTTTTTCTTCTTTGTGAGTGAATAAGAAAACTGAAACCTAGGTAATATAGAGCCTTTGTGAGTGAACCTAGTTTCTCCCTCTTTGTGAGTAGGGCCTGGGATCTTGACGGGTAACATTGAAGCTCCGTGTGAATATGTTGTATGCTACCGGAAATTGAAGTGCCGGTGTATGTGTGGCCAGCCCGAAGCTAGTATCTAGTGATAATTTGTTGGTATTTTGTATGGGGCCTGAGCCTGAAATCCCTCAATCAACCGCAATGATTGCGATGAAGATTACGGTGATTTCATTCTTTTTTTCTCGTATTTAAATTATTGGTTTGTTTCCCTTTGCAGTAAGAATACTTGTTTAGTTTGCTCTTTTGCTGTTTGGGCTTGTTTATCTCTGTGCAGGTTGCTGTCCGGGCACGGTTTGCAGCACTACGGGTCCATTAGTTGTTGTCCGGGACTACCAGGAGCTGTTCGGGCTCTACCGAAAACTGTCCGAGACCTACCAACTGCTGCCAGAGCCTATAGGGAGCTGTCGGGACCTGTTGGGAGTTGTCGGGACCTGCTGGGAGCTGCCAGGACGAACCTGCTGCTGTTTGGGGTCAGCCCGGGCCCGGCGAGTCGAGCCAGACGACCACCCAACAGTGTCAATACATTAAGTGATGGATGACTCCATAAGAAAACCATCTAATGGTTCCATAGAAATTTTGTACGTTTTCAAATGCAAGTGTCTTGTGCTACAAAATTTCAAATAAGAGACATACCTAAAAAAACTCATCTATTCAAAATTACCTAACATAAAAGTATAGGGCCACATATTATTTCATATTAACAAATTTAATAACATAGTTCATGAGTCATGACAATTTTAAATGCATGGATAAAATTTCGTAATGCAAGCGGCACTATTTTTATTTTAGTTTATTTTATTTATTTTTGGTGGTGTATCCAAGTTAGCTATGTGTTATTTTGTACATCACAAATTTGTATCAGTTTAATTATATATTGAACAGTCAATTATACAGCCGATATAACTTTTAACTAAATTAATAAACAAAACTTTATTTTTTATTTTTATTTTTTCTCGTTTTGCCGTGGTTGACTTTGGAAAGGGTAGAAATATATGTCCACATGTCAACGAGGCAAGGGAAAGAGTAGAGATGAAAAGGAAGAAAAGTTGCTCTCAAATTCTCATGAAGAGAATTAGAGTTGTAAACGAGCATAATCAAACTCGAGCTCGGATATAAACCTTTATCGGACCCCAAACTCGATTTGTTAACTAGCCTTAATGATATGAACTCGACCCATTACGAGCAGAATAATAATACAAATTTTGAAAATTGCGTAAAAAACTTTTGTTTCTTTAAGTTTAACAAACCTTAAATGAGTTCACGAACTGCTCGTTTAATTCCACATCTCAAGATGAAGTACAATCAACACAAAAGAGTCTTGCATTTCACTTAATTACATGGTTGGAAATGTCTAGAGATATGATCTAAAATCTATTCATCGCCTTGTTACAAACGCATGATGAGTTAATTTCCCCAATAGCCATAGACATATATTGACATTTAGATCGAGAACCAAGTTGAGCTAGCAAGTTGTTGTCTTTATAAATCTTCTTGGTAATCGAGACATATATCGACATGTTTCAACTATGAACTGGCCCACCTACTCATTCACGAGTTGAGAGACCCAGTTCAGCCGAGCAAGGATTATATCAAAGACAAGTTTGAAATTTTCTCCCCAATAAACTAATGTCTCTGCAGAAGCTAAGGGTGTGCTTGGTCATAGATATATTAACATTTGATTGGTTTGTTTTCTATTTTTATTAACCAGAGTTAATTTTGAAAAAGTTAGTATAGTTAGTTGTTAGTAAGATTTTAAGTTTGTAATAACAAACACTTATAATAAAATAGTTAAAATTTATATGATGCAAAAATGAGATATGGATGAATATTGTAATGGACAGATAATTAAAATTATGCGAGTGGATAAATAGTAAATTAAAGTTGATGTG